GCAAGCATCCTAAAAGGCCAATTTAGCAAGAATCCCCTACTATAGATATGTTCTCTTTGCAATCTTCCACCCACTGATCCTCTCTCTCTGCTTATCGGCTGTATATCTCCAGCTGTCTTTGCCATATTTGGATTAAGTTCAATCTCTATCTTGCCTCACAATACCCCTACTAAAATAGTCTCAAATAAAGCATTTTTTACCATTTAAACAAGTGTCACAATATTTTTTTTTTCTTTAACACCAGTTTACTTGAGAGTGCAACCTGAAGACACATTGAAAATGCTACGTCAGTCTGGAGCTGGATATTCCTTGATTTTTGGCTCCCAGTGCCAAGAATGAACACTGGTGCCTAGCCGGTGACCAAATGACCACAAATATAAAACAATCAGAATTACATACATTTATTGCAGAACAAAAGCAAACAAACTATAAAGAGACTTTCTCTCAAAAAGCAAGATGGTTCCCTCTCCCTAAGCAGAGAAGAGATTCCCAAATCTGAGCACACAATCTCTTTTATAAGCAAACTGGTTTGGCCCACCTTTGGGATAACTGATCCTTTCCGGTTACATAACAAATTTCTTAATATACATACCTATCTGAGCCTTCCTTCTCTGAACCTTCCTAAAAAACCTACAGAGTCTAAATTTACAATTTTAATTATATGATAATGAGCCAATTACGTCATTAGAGGCTCCTCACTATATGTTCTTTTTTTTAAGGTTTATCTTTTTTTTTTAATTTTTTTATTAAATCATAGCAGTGTACATTAATACTATCATGGGGTACAGTGTACTGTTTCTGTATACAATTTGAAATATTTTCATCCAACTGGTTAACATAGCCTTCATGTCTTTTTCTTAGTTATTGCGTTAAGACATTTATATTCTACATTTAGAGAGATTCACATGTATCCTTATAGGATGAACCATAGACGTGATCCCACCAATCACCCTCCCTCCAACCCCCTCCTCTCCTCTCCCTTTCCCCTCTCCCCATATTCCTGGGCTAAAATTGGGTTATAGATTTCCTATGAAAGCTATAAATTAGTTTCATAGTAGGGCTGAGTACATTGGATACTTTTACTTAATCATCAGAGAAATGCAAATCAAAACTACTTTGAGATAATATCTAACACCAGTAAGATTAGCTCATCTCACAAAATCCCAAAATCACAGATGCTGGCATGGTTGTGGAGAAAAGGGAACACTTCTACATTGCTGGTGGGATTGTAAACTAATATGTTCCTCACTATATGCTCTGACCACCAGGTAACTTGGTTCCTACTCTCCGCCCTTAGCCACTGCCCTTTGTCTTCAGTCCTATCAGGGAGAGAAGCTGGAGGCCAGGATGGTATCTTTTCTCCCAGGCCCAGCAGCTCTCCCCTAACCTGTTTAGAAGAGAAGTAAGGGAACCAACAGGGCGCATCTCCCCCTCAGGGACAGCAACTGTGAAGAGAGGGCCAGCCTGCATGTGTTGGCAGTTGCAATGGCTGATGTGGTACTGCTTAGGCTGAGCTGCTGCTGCACCGAGGGCCTGTTCATTGTGAGTCTGGCCATGCTCATGCTCAGTGCAGGGCACATGGAAGTGGCATCCAAACAAGGCCAGCATCACCCAACAAACGCAATTCACATTTCTATGAATATAAATTAGTTGCACTATTTTCAGTTTTCTCAATGTCTAAGATTGCAATAACCTAGGAAAAGACAAAGGCAAAGGTAAACCGAAAAGATGGCCTGGTTAGCACGCTGACTGAAGTTCAAGTCATTCACAATTTTTTATTAGACCACCCATAACTAATAGTCAAATTCCAGTTGCTAATTGAGACCACTGAACCTAAAAGGCCTGTTTTGCCATCTTCTAACTTTTAGGCCCAAGGCTGAACTTCCACAGGCTACCATTGATGTCCTAATGGACAACAGAGATGGTAAAATATCCAGCTAATTTTCTATGCATAAGTGTTTCAATATCATCTTAGACAGACCTACTGACCTCTGATATTTAGAATGCCTGGGCAACCCTTGGAGGTGGCCCAACACCTGAGCACTCTTGCCACCTTGCTAAGAGTTGGCACTTCCACCATGTGTCCTGTAATTTCTCTGTCAAAGAGAGAGGGTATCATTGCACTGTTTAAAAATATATTTAATTTGTGCAGAGAGAGGGTTTTTTTATTCCCCCAATGGTAAAGTGGAGAAATGCTAACTGAGTAAGAAACATGAAAAGCCAAATAGCAGCCAATAGAAGTAACTGCTCATTCACAAAATTCCTATTTGTGGCATTGATTTACCTTGTCCACTTTGGTAGTGGTGATGATGATGATAATGAAAGATGTTAAAAGAAAGAACTTCCATTTAAAATTGCAGCTGATAACTGCTCACAATAAGTTCTGTTCAGCACAGGACCTACGAACTACGTCACTATGCATTTTGGCTTTTCCTTTAACTCAGTAATTTGATGGATCACTTTGAGTATTAAAGGTAGATTACCAAATTATTATTTCTAAAGAGACAGGAAAATGAAGAGATCATTAAAATATTGAACATAATACATGAGCAAGAATTCAAGACTGTGTGTGAGAGAAAGAAGGTGGGTAGGGAGAGAGAAGGACAGAAAGCTAAGAAATCAGGCTAGCTGTGGTCTGTAGAGCAATGTAAGTGTTATAGAATCAACATTTGTATGCTCCCAAAATCCACTCCTAATATGATGGGACCTTTGGAAGGTTATTAGGCGTAGGGTTAGTGTGCTTATAAAAGAAACCCCAGAGAACTCCCTTGCACCTGTGTCATGTGAGGGCATGGTGGAAAGACAGACATGGATGAACCAGAAAGCAGACAAATCACCAAATCTGCCTATGCCTTGATCTTGGACTTCCAGCTTCCGTAACTGGGAGAAATAAATTCCTGTTGTTATAAGCTACCCAATCTATGGTATTCTGTTATAACACCCTGAATAGACTATGACACCCAACCAATAAGAAATCCCTAATGATAGGGAAAGCAATGGGAAATGTTCTAATTTTAAGCTGTTTCCATTGTTGGGATGTAAATGTTCTATCACCCTACGCATTTGTAGAGTCTCTGGATGGTGGTTTCTGAGGCCTGGAGCCCTGGGGAAGGCATCTCAAAAAGGGTCATTTTAGTGAAAAACTCCACACATTGAACTCAGAAGAATCAAAAATTTCAACTTAATCTCAATTTGAAGAAAACTTGAAGTACCCTCTGAATCCCCTGTAACACATAGATGGAGATTTAAGTCAACTCCATTTCAGTCTCTGAAGACAGCATAACCCTAGTTAACACATAGGCAATAATAATAGCTAAGATTTCAGGGTGTCAACAATCTTGGAATAAGAAAAGAAGATCTCTAGTGGAATATTTTGCATCGTTCAGAACACATTATTTAGGATCATCTAATTCTGGCTTTTCATCACCTCTCAACTATTTTTCAGCTCATAAGGTGTAGAAAATTACAGTGCAATGCAAAGGACTTTTAGACAATGAATATACAAATGAATAATCTGATAGAGGGATAACTTGTCTACCCCTCAAGACAGTTTTTGTGTCAACTTGCACAATAATTTATACTTTCTGAATTATAAATCTATAAACCTCTGGGCTTCTTTTTTACCATCTTCTTTGAGCCAGCTATAGTATCTGCCTGATTCTCTCACTGACAAAGATGTTAAGTAACATCTTTAACATACATTAATGTCTGTCTGAAAATCATGATTTTATCTTTTTGACAAAAGTACTCACTGTGATTTAGACATCATCCTAAACCTTTTTACATGTGGTACCTCATATCACCTTCCCAAGAAGTGAAGAGTTAGAGACTATTGTTGTTCCCATTTTACAGATCAGGGTCAACAAATGAGAGCCCAGTGGTCCAAATCAGATCTGTCAAATTTGTCCTATACCCTGCTGCTGTCTATAAAGTTTTATTGTAACACAAAATGCCCATTAGTTTATTGTGGTCTATGGCTGTTTTTACCATACAACAGCAAAGCTGAGTAGTTGCAACAGTGACTCTATGGCCCACAATGACTAAAATATTATTTTTCCCTTTAAAGAAATAGTTTGTTGACTCTTGTATAGATGAGAAAACAGACTTTGCAAAGTTATGAAAATTACTCAGATTCATACTGTTATTGCGTTGGATAGCCCAGACCCTTTCCCTCTTCCCTGTATTTTCTCAGAGGTCAATGGTCCTGGGTTTTACTTGTCCCAAACGAAAATAGCTCCTATATAAAATGATTTTAATTTCTTAAAATAAGGGTCATTCCTGCCTCCATTTACACACTCAGGCTTGGAATCCCTTGAAGGAGGTATAATTCATGCTGCAAGGAGAGAAATAAAAGCCTTGAAATGAAGCATGCCTAAGAAAAGAAAAATAAGGAGTTAAGCTTGTATGGAGGTGGTAAGGCTGGGAATAGATCCTATCTTCTCAATTAGGATCCTAAGTCATTTATTTATACCTAAATATAAAAAAAAAAAGGAGTGATAGTTGAAAGGGAAGTTGGCACAAAGCAAAAATGAGGTTGCCTAAGGGCAGTCAAGCATCTCGCTCAATACACCTCCATGGTTTACTCTCCTTTCCCACCTCCGATTTGTTTTGTACTCTGTTGTCAAAAGTGAAGGTAAAATGTGCTGTTACAGCAGTAACCTCTTATCAGCCTGTGTTAGTGTCTGAGGGCCTGGTTTAAAATGGCAAAAGCAATTGCTATACCTGAAGCCGTTCTGTGAAGTGGTGTTTAATAAGTTTCCTTCTAGAATATTATCATCCCGGCCTCCTTCTCCCATCTCTTGTTCCCTGATCCCATATAACCTCAATTAGGGTTTGGGGTGGGAGCATAGCTTTCCTTCAAAGAAAGAACTGCACAGAATGGTAAAGCAAATGAAGTCTTCCCAGCACTTATGTATCAATTATAATTTTCTAAAAACCTACAGAGAAGTGACAGAGTCAAGGTATTGATGAAAAGCTAATCAGAATTTTAAAAAATATTTAAGGGCACCAGGTCCAACAATCACTAGCTGTCCAACTACCAAAAAATTATGCTTCCAAAATCTCTCCATGTCCCTTCAACATAAAGGGCAGTCAGGTAGCTCTCCATGTGCCCCATGACAGAAGGTCTTTTTGCAACTAATTAGAATTTAAAAGGGCAATGAAAACCATACAAATAGGATTCCACTTGAATTCTGAAAACTGATAAGGGTGAAGTTTGCAGGCAATTAATTCACTCCTAACTGAATGAGAGAGCTATAGTTTGGGGATCTTATTACCATTCCTTTTGTAAAGTAGAGGCAAAAATTCTACCAAAGAATAGTACCCTCTTCTTACCTTAGTTTGTCTATATCTTGTCTGTCTTGCCTTGAGGATACAGACAAATCGCTTCAGAAAAATCAAGTTATGCAAATTCCAGCCAGAGAAGGATAGCTAAGAACTAGGACTCATGGTGACCAGGAAAACGCCTCATCACCTTGTGCATGTCAATACTCTCCATAATACAGACAGTTGATTATTGTTGTTTACAAGACGTAGGTTCCATAAAGTCACTGCAAATGCTAAATTAGCAAATGATGAATCATTGCTCCTAGTGGAAATACCAGGGGCAGGTTCCTGCAGGCCTTTTGTCAACAGATCAATACAAAGCCTTGTTTTAGGTGTGTTTCTTTTTATAGATACCTTATTTAATATATTGTCGATTCATGACCATTGAACTCATGGCCAACAGCATTATAAAACACAATACTATATTTTTCCATGTAAAATATGCTTCTGTGAAGAATGTGCATCCATGGCTTGTCCCACCCACCCCACCTCACCCCACCCCCGTGGACTTTCAGGAAAACACTCCTCAAGAAAGTGGCAGCTCTCAGTCAGAGAGACATATCTGGGGAAGGTTAACGCTTCCCTGGCAAACATGCATATTACCACCTCCTACATTCTCCTGCTCTGTGAAGTCTGTTCCTTTCCCACCTGGGAGCCTTTCCCTCTCTGCCATGTTGAGAGCCACAGCCAAGATGCCCATGTAGGAGCTTCTGAGGCTGCTCAGCCCATGGCCAGCCAGGCAGATCCCTGGGGCCTGTATGGGGCTCCTAGTCCCTTCTTTCCCTCCACACAGCTGGGCCTCCACCCTCACCCTGCAGAGCCCCAACCCATCTCACCAGCCCCATCACTACCTCCTCCCCTGATCATACTTGGCAGAGGATGCCCCTGTCCACTCCCACCAGGTCCTGGACTCTCCCAGACTGGAACGCTGTGTGCCCAGTGGTTCAGGTGGAAGGGTGTGGTGGCCCTGGGAGGCCTGCTGGGCTCTCTGCTTCTGAGCTATACCACTCACATATAATGCGCATCCTTATGTTTCCCTCAAATTTGACCAGAAATGTGCACATTAAACATGGCAAAATATAGTAGTCTCTTAAAACATATCACAGCTTTCTTGTTTTTAGAACTCTAGATAGCACTTCATGTGGGGGCCATTTAAAACAGTGAAATCACTAATAAAAAGCACAGAAATGACACAAAATAAATCATGAAAAGGACACCTGTTTATAGCATGAAAACTGAAAGAAAATGGCAGAGAATACCTTTGCTGGACCTCAGCTGAGAATACGCATATAAGGTGACTCAAAGTTTTTGTGACTCTGCCCATGCGCGTACATGTTCAAGAATTACTAACAAAGCACCTCAAGTATCGGCTTTGGGGTTACAAATAACATTTAAGCAAGTAGGATGCTATGATCTGAACGTATTCCCCCAAATTTGTGTTAGAACTTGATGGCCAATGTGATAGTATTGAAAGATAGGAATTTAAGAGTGATTAAGTCAGGGTTTACGCTCTAATGTGTTCTCACTATATGAACACAAAGATCAATATTCTTTGGAGGATGTAGCAACCAGATGCCATCTTGAAGACAGAGAGCCGCCCTCACTAGACATTGAGCCTGCTGGTGCCTTGATCTTGGACTTCTCAGCCTCCAGAACTGTGTAAAATAAATGTCCATTTTTAACAAATTACTTAGTCTATGGTATTTATAGCTGCACAAACCAACTAAGATAGAAATTGGTACCAGAACAAGGGTACATGTTAACTCTACTAAGGGTAGAATATAAATATCTTAACATAATAACTAAGAAAATGCAGTGAAGGATATATTAACCAATTTGATGAAAGTATTTCAAATACCAGTACATTGTACCCCATAATTGCATTACTATACACAGCTATGATTTTATTTAAAAAAAAAAAAAAAAAAGGAAGAAAGAAAGAAATCGGTACCAGAAAAGTAGGGTGCTGCTGTAACAAATACATAAAAAATGTAGAAGTAGCTTTGGAACTACATAATGGGTGGAAGCTGGAAGAGTTTGGAGGTATGTGCTAAAAAAAGATTAAGCTGCTGTGAAAAGAGTCTTAAGGATGATTCTGGTGAGGTCTCAGAGAGGAGAGCTGTAGCCAACTCCTAAATCTTCTTAGAGTACCTCAGTGGTCGTCATTGGGATATCTGTAGAACTATGAACAGGAAAGGCCACTCTGGTGAGATCTCTGATGGAAATGAGGAATATCTTTTTGGAAACAGGAGGAAAGGTCATCCTTGTTACAAAGTGTCAGTGAAATTCACTGAACTGTGTCCTAGTACTTTGTGGAAAGCAGAATTAAAGAGTGATGAACTAGAATAGTTGGCAGAAAAAATATTTAGGCATTCAGGGTGGCTACATGGCTTCTCTGACTACTTGTGATAAAGTGCAAGAAAAGAGAAACAAAAATGGTAATTTGTAATCAAAAGGGAAGAAGAACTTAAAGATTTGGAAGAGTTTATCTTGGCCAGGTAAAGTCTAGAAAAGTATGTTTGGGAGAGAATACCAAAGGTGTGGCCAACTGAATGTTTAATAAGAAAATTAGATAGAAAGAAGCCAGATGCTATTCATCAGGACAGTGAAAGGAGAGGGTAGGACATGGGGTCAAATGTTATTCTCAAGTCTCAAGATGTAATGTTGTTTGCCTTGTTGGGTTTGGGACTTACTTGAAACCTGTTACTTCTTCGTCCTTTCCTGTTTCTTCCTTTTAGAATGGGAATGTCTATCCCATGCTTGTCTCACCACTGGATTTAAGAAGTACATAACTTATTTGATCTCACAGATTTCACAGCTAAAGAGCAATTTTTCTCAGAGTGAATTTTCCTTTGGGTTTTACCCACATCTAATTTATTAATAGATGAGATTCTGGACTTTAGACTTTTGAGTTGGTATTGAAAAGAGTTAAGATTTTTGGAGCTGTTGAAAGAGAATGATCATTTTGTGTATGAAGAGGACGTGAATTGGGGGAGGCCATGAATAGAATGCTACGGTCTGAATGTGTCCCCCAAAATTTATGTGTTGAAACTTCACAGCCAATGTAATAGTATTAAGAGGTGAGACTTTTAGGACTTTAAGTCATGAGGATAGAGCCTGCATGGATGGGCTTAGGACACTTATGAAAAGGCTTGAGGGAGTAGGTTCACTATGTTCTGCTCTTCTCCCATATGAAGACACAGCATTCACCCGCTCTGAAGGATGTAGCAATAATAAGGCACTATCTTGGAGTCAAGGCACAGCTGTTCCCAGATACTGTACCTGCTGGTACCTTGATCTTGAACTTCTCAGGTTCCAAAACTGTCAGAAGTAAATTTCTATGGATTATAAATTACCCGCCTATAGTATTTAGTACTAGCAGCACAAATTGACTAAGACATAAGTATATTTGCAAATACAGAACCCATATATAATGAGAATTGACGGTATCATTTCCCCCTAGAAAGAACATATGCTGTAAATAGCACCTTGGGAATAATACAAACAGAACAGCATTGCCAAAATATGTAAGATAAGCATTTTTCAGTTCTAAATATCTCAGGAATAGGTATCAAATTTCTCTAAAGTGATTTCTTTAAAGAGAATGTCAAGTTGGAGAGTGGCTTGAAGGATTATTGAATGAGGAGATGTTGACTGCTTCATTATTTGGCAGATATTGTGTGAAACAGTAGCCATTCTTGACATGCAGGAAGCTGGCATAGCAATTGATTTCCCAATTTTCAAAAACAAGCACCTAAAATCCAATCTTCAAGCAACCCTAAGGGCTTCTCAAAGTGCCCTTCCAAAACTCCTCAAACCTTCAGTACCTTAACCTTGGGAATATGTAAAGTCTTTCTAGAAATAAAACTCTGATGTATAATGAGCCTGCTAAAGGCTTGAGTCAAAAAAGACACTAACAGTTAAAAAGTCCATAAAAATTAGTGTTACAAAAAAAAATTGCATCTCAGTGGAAAATTATTCATTGTCTACATACAGTACATCCTTCTAGGTCATCAGATTCTATCCTTAAATTTGTTTTGAGTGATTTTCTTGTAACCCTTTTAAGTTTCTATAACTGATAAACATGTAAATTCTGTCTGATTTGGTAGAGATTTAATTGATTTCCCTACACTCCAGAGAAAAACATAGTTTTCGCCTGCATTGGCAACTCATTTCAACTTCCTTTTCTTGCCAGATAAGTTTGTGCTTTTTTTCACTTTTCCTTTGAACCAGTTATAACATCTGCCTGCTTCCCTCTGTCAGGAAGGAAAAACTCTGCCACTACCCCCCTTAGTTTTCTCTCGGGGACCTGAAAATTAAACTAAAAAAGGAAAGATTAATGGGAGAAATGGTACACAATTTTTATTAATATTTATGGGCATGAGAGTTCACAGAAAAGAAGTGAAACTCAAAGAAGCAGTCAGACTCAGAGGCTTATACACCATTTTAACACAGAATGGGAGGTTTTAGCTTCAAGGGATGATAAGTGACTAGAAAATATATGGAGGAATTAATAAGCAATAACTTTTTTTAGTAAGATCTGTTTATGCAAACTCATCTTGGTGTCAGCTCTCCTTCTCTGAGAATAAGAGTGCTCTTCTCTTGCTGGTACATAGGGGGACACCTTCACAAAGGGAAATTTATGCCCTGCTTTTAGCAGATAAGTGGCAGGCACAGAATTCTTCTGTTAATTCTCAATTGCCTTCAGCTCGAAATAATCCTTATGCCGAAGTATATTTTTGGGGTGACATATTCTGCAACCCTTCACTTCAGATATGAGTAAAATAAAATCTTTAATACGTTTTCA